AGCCTTTAAGACGCAAGGGGGTGACTGGCTGTAAAATAATGAGAAAAAGAAAAACATTATTAGGGAGAGATGACAATAAAAGAACAGGGATTTATAAGAGAGATAATGATGATTCACATTGTATTTAAATTTTTGAAGGTCAAAATTGGCTGGAAAGCATGAAGCCGGAAGTGAGTTCCGCAAGCAAGATTTGCGAGAGAAGGCACTGTTAGCATAGAACTTACGGTTGCATCTAGGAATTTCAACTGTAGAATGACGAGACTTAGCTCTCAATCAAGTACTGCGCTTAAATTCGTAAAGTTGAGGTACCAAAGAGGAAAATTCATCAGAACAATTAGCATGAAAGTATTTTAAATGTAAAATGTTATTGAATATTTATGGCAAAGATTTCACTTGATATATGTCCAGTAAGTAGATGGGTCGTCAGAGTTAATGACAATCTTAGAGACAACAGAGAAACTAACTTTAGTGTTAGGCCCCTCAGTGGCAAGCATGCTACTGCTGTAAACGAGGATAACGCGAAACATTTGAGATGGCAGAATAAGCAATATTTGTGAAAGACTTCAGGACAGCCATGGCGGTACCTGCACTTTATTGCAGTATCTTAGTTGCTCAGAGTTCTGTGTAAAGTAGTTATTTAATGCTGAAATACTTTTCATGTGAATGTTCATCCAGTACAAAGGGTAAAAGCCACTCAAGATAGAAAATCAGTGAATGCTGTAAAAGCGTATAAGGAGGGAACGAGAAGCGTATATATAGGCTAGATAATGATTATCGCCAGACTTGAAGGGAATAAGGTTATAGTGATCGAGGAAGCGTCCTTTCGAGACTCTGTTCCATTATGTAACAGTTATTTGGATGAAGCTCTCTGAGTGAGACTTCCTCCTTACCAATGGAATATGAAGGGATGAGTCGAATTAGTGTACGCGGGTCTAGCGGTTCCTAGATGTGAACTTCTGTACTAGCAGAATGTAAGAAAGTAGTTCGCCTGAACATCTGAAATGAAAAGAACTATAAGGTAGCTAGCTGCCAACGGCGTTTCGCCTGTGGAAAAGCAGTTGTAAGGTGGAAAATATTTAATTGCCGACAAGGCGGCGTAAATGCTTTTGGGATCTGTCAAGGTTTGAAAGTGAGGATTGGGCAACAGTGGCCCAGAAATGGTCGAAACATTCCATTTTTTGATCTGATCGGCTTCTTTTTAAAGAGTATGGCAAAAGGTGTCAGGAACTTTTTAGAGTGGTACTTGAAGAAGCAAAGGGTGGGGTCTGCCCAAGTATTTACTAGTGCTGACCAGCTACCGTTCACTTTCAACTGCTCAAGATGGCGCTCAGACGACAGCAGTTCTTCAATGACAATGAAATAAAATAATAATAATAAAAAAAAAACGACGGGGGCACACACATGGCTAAGCAAACAGTCAAACCGATTCCGTGAGCCGGGTACTTACGTATAACGGTTTAGACTTGTAAAAACGAAGAAAATAAAAAATCTTCAAACACGGCACTAAAAAATTTAAATACATTTTATTATTTCCTTATAGTCGGTTGATAAATTTTAATAATTTAGTAAGGGTTTATAAATTTATGAAAAAAATTGTTTTCATATTTATTTCTTTATATACTAGTTAATGATAAATATTGCATTAGTTTTAATTGTATTAGTTTTTAGTAGTCCTGGGTATGATGATAAACTACACCTGGAAGCAAGACCCCTGATCGGCAGATTGGAGGTTTTAAGGAGCGCGGAACCACCTCTTAATTGCTGTTGTTCCCGGGTCCACCCTGACCCCGGGTGGTAGCACCTGTTAGGATCCCAGCTATGAGTAAATAGTAAACCACTGAACAAAAACAAAACACTATGAAAGAATAAAAATGTATTTTTATAGTAAAATTACCAGTAATGCATTTTATAGCAAAATGATCCGCAGTGCATTTTATGTCTTGCAGTTGCTTTTAAAATATTTAGATTTGGAATTAAATAACCCATATAGGTTGATATACTGCTAAATAAAAATCAATCAACCAAACCAGTTAGATTTTAGGATATTTTAAATATAAAATTATTCTGATAAGAAAAAAAATTCTAATAAATAAGCAATCTCTATCCATAAAAGGCAGGATATGTGTGTGTGTATGTGTGTGTGTGTGTAACGAATGCACGGCCGCAATTTTTGACGGATTTGCACCAAAATGCTCCAAAGTTAGCGGGAAGGCCAAGACCGACATTGCATTTCTCAATTTTTATCGATATTCCACTATCGATAAAAGTTGAGATTCATCGATTTTTCATGCTTCTACGGTAGTTTTCATGTAGTTTGCGGCCATTTTCTATTGGCCAGCGTGAGAGCCAACAGCTGACTGACACGAATGTTAACTAGCATGCAAAAAACATCGATAGCTGCATTCGTCACAAGTGGGAAAAATTTAAATCTGCATGGCATTTTACTCCAATTGGCTCATTCGTTTGCTTAAACTCAACGTTGATTCTGATTCCGCAGATCTGGGTTGGGTCTGAAAAAGTATTTGTTGTTAACATACTTTTTTCATTCGGTTTTTCCAGTTACAATATTAATTAATTAATTAATATTTAAGTCAAGTGATAGCGATTGCTGTATGAGTCGAAGGATTTTTGAATCAAGCACGGGCAACGCCGGGTCATGCTGCTAGTTATATAATATTTTTGTTGTAAATTCTTAAGAACAAAAATGTATAAATTAACTTTCATCATATATTTAGGTTTGATTTCAAGACTAACCGTCGCCTTTTAAAACAATAAACATTGCCGAGGATGGAAGGTAGTTAAAATAATAGCGGTGTCAAAGAAAATCCATACTTTTGATACTCCGTTAATTTGAAGGTCCAAGTTTACCGAACACACATGGCTTTTAGACTAATCCTCGTTGAAAAATAAGGAGACAATGTTTAGTACTAGATTTATAACCTTTGTGTCTAGGTTCATAATGTGTATCCTTTTTATTAAATCTATTATGATGAAATGAGAACAGGCATTACTTTTAGAACGCCCCTTGTACTAAAACAGAAAAAATACTGAGAAAGACTAATAACCTAGGAGGTACCTAATGAATCAATCAAAGAGGCAAGAATGAAAAAATAGATGAAACTATTATAGCTTAAGATGTAGTACGACAAAGCTGACGATGAACGTCTCATACACGAGGTGGGTTGAAGTCAGATGAAGAAGTGATAAACTCTTCATTAAATAAGGACTTCTCTTTTCCGCCCTTGACCTAAACAAACATGGCGTCCGTATTGACACGGCTTTTATTTTACCGGAAAATCTGTTCTCGCAACACAATGGACTCTCAAATAGATGTTTATCTGTATAAATACTCCACAGTTGTTCATAGAAGAACCTGTTCTGATACGTTCTTAACCCTTTTTTCACCATGGAAAAAAAAAATCAAACACTGGTCACCTCACGGGAACATTCCCATCTTGTAGTTGTTTTCAAAGCATTTAACCAGGGTCCAAAAAGTTTATGTAAACAGCTTAATTATTTGCCTTGTGGTGAATATTTCTTTTCGTTCGAATCAACAAAGATGACTGACTGACTGACGAATATTATATACTTGAGATTTTTGCAACACGCTGACACGTGTTGAAATCATCACAATATTTATTATTGTTGAAGTTATCGCTAACATTTTTGTCGACATTTACTAATACTACGTTTCGCCCAATTTAGCAAGCCATCTATGAAATTTGAATAAGCCGATTTGATGGAAAAAACAAAACTCCTACTTCACGGTTTAATAATTTCTTTAATTTAATTTTATAGGATTTAGGATAAACAATATTTTTTAACAAAATTTCTTCTTTTTTTCCCACCTTTTTAACAGTAAAGAATACATTCATAGGATTTCTTACTCTTGAGCGTGCAACATACAACTGGCAATGCGTAAATATTTCTTTCTGCAGTCAAATTCCAATTTTTGAAATGTTGGGATTTGTTTATGGTTCTCGCAAACGCAGGGTGAACTGAAAATTGGAGTCTTGTAAATATAAAAAGTAAGAAAATATATGCAAAAATGTATTAAATAAATATTTATTTTAATGATTAAATTCTTTTAAAAATAGTGTGCGTATCTTGTATTTTAAATAATCAAAGATTTATTTTTTTTCAAATGAATTACTGAAAATTTATTGTACTCAGCTACGCACTTTAGTAAAACCAACTGCCTTTTGTACTCCTTTAGCGTTTCTTCCCTAAATTTGGTTTCAGTCGGTCAAGGTATGGCTACTTTAAGAGGGTGTGACGGACGGATGAACGGACTAACAGAAGTCATATAATTTTATATATAGATATATTCCTTCATTCACAGTAAGCCCTTGAGTCTTAGTGGCTTTATCGTTTCGCTTGCGGTGAAATGATAAAAAATGGTTTAGCTCAGAAACTGAACGTATAAGTTGTAGTTATTGTTTGTCCTCTCCTACTGTTTCATTACCATTTGCTTTGTCACTGTGTATGTAATCATTCGACAATTGAACTTTTGCGCTATTTTTTTTTAATAACTCCTACTCGTTATAGTACGGGTTGAAGATGAACCAGTTGTTGGCATGCTACAGTTGCTTCGTTGAGAGGAAAAGCAAGTCTTGTAAATGGGACTTTGTCTGGCGGCCAGTCTTGCGTGGGGATTGCGTCGAGGGAATGAGGCGAAACTGTTTTGTAAGGAAAGAAAATTGAAGCAGGGAACAGCTGCTGTTCGATTTTTACACGTCACGGAAAGACGTTGAGAACAAAGCAAGACGAAACGCGAGATGCATTTCACGCATTGCAGCTGACGCGAAAAACACATCGGAAGATGCTACGACAAACACATGAGTCAATAGTGTGGGCGAAATGCCAGTGCAAGTGGCCATGTTTCTCTACACAGTAACCATCGCTGTAGATTTATTCTTTTCGTCATTTTAAAAAGATTTCTTTCTTTTTCTTTAACTTCCTCTAAATTCCGTTGATCTTCCTCTCCTCTGTTTTCATCTATGTTGCTTTGCTTCTTGATTCTTTCTGCTGTCTTTTTTCTTTTTCTTCCTATTCTTTTCCTTCTTATTCCTTCGCGTTTATTTTACTTCTTCCTCTTTTTATCCCTCATTCACTCTTCCCCTTCCTTTATCTTCTTCTCCATCTATTTATCTAGTTGCTATTCCTATTTTTCATTTTGCGTATCAGTCTTCTTTTCCCTAAATTCTTCTTCTTTTTTCTTTTTCTTCTTCATCTTCTTTTTTCTTCTTCATCTTTCTTTCTTTCTTTCTTTCTTTCTTTCTTATTCTTTTCTTCTATTTTTCTCCTTCTTCCATCACTGTTCTTTATCTTCTTATTCCATTGTGTTCTTGTGACTGTCTTTCTTTCTTTCTTTCTTTCTTTCTTTCTTTCTTTCTTTTCCTCCACGTCTTCTTTATTTTTCACTTTTCCTTATGATTTTCTTTCGTTCTTTCCTTATTTATTTCTCTTCCTCTACCTCTTCAGTTTACTTCTTTTTGTGAATTTTTTTTAACTTTCTCTAATCTTTTTTTCTATTTCTTTCTTTCTTTCTTTTCTTCATTTATTTCTTCTTCCTCTACCTCTTCTTCTTCTTGTGATTTCTCTTTTTCATTTTCTACTCTTCTTTTTTTCTTTCTTTCTTTCTTTCTTTTTCTACATCACCTTCCCTTTGTGTGATTTTCTTTCGTTCTTTCTTATTTCTTCTTCTTCTTTGTGATTTTTCTTCTTCATTCTCTACTCTTCTTCGTCCTTTCTTTCTTTCTTTTTTGTTCCACCACCTCGTTTTTTTTTTACTTCCCCTTCTCTTTTCTAGTGCTCTTCTTTTATTCTTCCTCCATTTCTTCTTCATCTTCTTATTTCATTTTGTACTTGTCACCTATATTTTTCCTCCTTTCACCTGTCCTTCGTCTTGTTTTCTTTGTTTATGATTCTGTAGCGCCAGTCCACAAGGTTCGTGTGTAGCAGCAAAATTGTTCAAATCGTGTAACAACATGCGATAATCGTCCATCACATAAACATGCTTAATATCTAAATAACTAATAAACTAATTGTGTTTCTTTTCCCCAAGTTTTCAGATAAGACGTTTAGCCATCTTGATATCATTCGTTGTAAGAATCACTAAAAACCGCTTTCAATTATTTAGCTAGGAAGAGATCAGGTTAAAATCGTTTTGTGTCAGCCCCGCTATAGCTTCCCAACAGAGCAATGGTGAGAGGAAAATATCATTCAGGCCTTCAATAATAATACCAACGTTTATACACTGGCTTCCATCTTCAAAGTCCATTCAAGAACCATCAAGAGAACGGTGAATAGAAAAAGAGGGAACAAAAGAGAGCAAAATTGGATCAGGAGGTCTAAAGAGCAAAAGGTGTCATTATTTCAACTTAGAGTTAAATACATTCTTATTGTTCAAAGTAGAATCCAATAAAAAACTCGGAGAATTCCTGGAAGATATCTTTAATCATTTCTAAGACACAATGGTTCAGTGAATATTGTACAGTATCTTAACAATTTCTTTCTTTCTTTCTTTCTCTACCTCTTCTTTTTTTTTTCTTCTTCTTCTTCTTCTTCTTCTTCTTCTTAATCTAACAATTTTGCTGTTACACGAATTGAACAATTTTGCACACACACACACGCGCGCGCACACACACACACACATACAAACAAACAAACACATACACAGACAGAATTCCAGTAAAATATCTTTAATCATTTCTAAGATACAACGTTTCAGAGCTTAATCTAACAATTGGACAATTTTGCTGTTACACGACTTGGCCAATTTTGCTGTTACATCCGGTATTAGAAAGCAGTTGTATACAGCTGACAGTTTAGACATTTCTGAACGAGTTTGGCGCCATCGATGCCATTCGTATGAAAGTCTCAACCTGACGAGGTCATTTAAGAACACAACCCGAGTTTTCAGGTTAATGTTTTGATTTTGTAGGAACTTGAGGTGCTGGGAGGAACTTCCCCTAGCACAGTTTATTCTATCAAGTAGGGTGGGACTGTGTGCCCTATAAAAGGGTCGACATTAAACAACTTAACAAGTGTTAACATCATTTAAAACCAACCCAACAAGTTAAACTAGGACTAATATCAGCTTCTAGTGGTCATAAAGTCGGGTATGTGTTTTTTGTTGTGATTAAGTAATAAAATGTTCCCCCAGTTTATTATTGCATAATAATAATTCGAAATATATATATTTAAAAGATATCATGTGAATAAATTCTCGTAACAGGATGGCACCCCGTCGTGTGGTAATCGTTAACGAGACAACAAATCATGATCTCATTCTTTGTTAAGGCACTTGATTCCTTGGTTAAGATACTGTACAATATTCAGTGAAAAAAAAGTTTATTCAATATAATTAAATAATAATATAAGGGCAAAATTTAACTAAGTCATTGTTGATCCTAATTCCAATATGTGGGTATTCACGCAAGCATACACACACATTCCCTCTCTCTCTCTCCCTCTCTCTCGCACTCTCTCTCTCCCTTAAACTCTCTCTCTCTCTCCCTATATATATATATATATATATATATATATATATATACTTTATTTTAGGATATTCCATCAAAACATAAAAAAGGCTACACAAATGCAATCTTGTTTCGATGCGTACTAACACATTTCATCAGGCGTTAGTAAATAACTGGTTACTAGACAATTTATTGCGATTTAAAAACAAGATACGCCTTCTCTTCACGAGAAAAGGCAGAAAAGAAAAAGAGTAAGAAAGTTCTAATTTTACATGGATATATATATATATATATATATATATATATATATATATATATACTAGCAGTATAAATCGTCTTCGACCAGGTGTTTCATTACTGGGAAATTTTGACGTTCAATTGGAGCAGTTTAAGTTTAAAGTCAGCTCACCTGAAAATCAATATTAGTAACAACAATTGGGTGCACATCCCCAAATAAGGAGTTACTTTGAATGGGGTATGGCGCTGAAAATGGTCATTTTTGCGTTCTCAATCTTGCAAGGAAGGAACCTCTTACATGAACCGTCATAATAATAATATACGATCATTTTTATTTATAATATTTTTTTATAATTCTAATAATCTTTTGCGTTAGATTTTTACTCTCTATATTGATTGAACGCTGTTTTTTTTAAATTTTTCCTTTGATTTTTGCGCAAAGTGTAAAAAATCAGTTTTTTTCGATTTTTCATTTTCAGGGTTGTAATTTTTTCCAGCCAATTTGGATTCAAAACCGGCATTGAAGAATTATTTATCAAAAAAAAAAAAAAAATTCATCGAAATCGAATGAAAACTGTGAAAACGCAATTAGTAACATCCGATCACACACAGAGACACACATACATACACACGCACATTTTGAGAATATACCCGGGAAGGCGGCATGCGTAACGCCATTTTGATTAACTTTAACTGAACAAAAATAAATTACTAAGGTTTGAGAAAATTTATAATTATTGCCACATAAAATCAGTATTTGTTATGATTAACAAATTATTTCCGTCTTGGGTATGACGATAAATGCCATCCAGCAGCAAAACCACTGATTGGGACGATCTGAATTGCGTCGAACCACCTCAATTGTTGTTATTTCTAGGTCCCAACTGTTAGGGTCCCAACTATGGGTAAATAGTGAACCCCTAACCTGAGGTAAAACAACAAAAAAGAAGCAAAAAAATACAAAACCTGAAAGTATAGATTTAAAAAAAAATAAATAAAAATATAAAGTTTGTAAAAAAAATACTCTTGCTCCCAAGAAAATTAAATTTCGGCATTAAATGACCCATGAAGGTGTTTATATGCCGTTAAATAAACAAACTATTGAAACATGTTGAAAAGGCTTCCCGTCATGTTATATGAAATACTGAACCCTATTGGCAACACTTTTATAAACCATCTTGCATCTTTCAATATTAATTTCAGGAAATTCACCAAAAATTGCTTCTTTTTTTTTTTTACTTCAGGAGTTGTTTTTGATCTCAGGCTCTAAACAAAACTTTTCAGTATATCCCACAAGAAAAGTCTGGCGGTTTTAGTTCTGGTGATTCTGATGGTCACACAATTGCTCCATTATTCACCTCAGCTCGAACAAAGGCGTTACCATATATATATATATATATATATATATATATATATATATATATATATATATATATATATATATATACCAGCATATCTTTATCCAATCATGTTTGTTTGAAAAATCTGGACATATTATGTCAATTTATTTTTATTTCAATCCTCTCAAATTCGCGGATCAATTTCTTAATGTTCTTATTAAATTCGTTAACGAAGACGCCGTATTTTTTTCATTTCTTTTATTTTCCCAAGTACTTTCAATGTTATCTAAGATTATCTCCAGGGATGAATTCCTAAGACAAAAATTAAAGTAAATGATATTTGTATCAACTGTTTTTTTGTAAATGCGCATGTAACGTGTCCTGTTATAATTATAAACACGTGTAAAGGCGATCCGTTATAAATAATTTAAAAAAATAACTGCTAAAATTATTATGTTATCTAAGGGAGTCAACTTTAACTTATACGATCGTATTTTTTAAATAAAAAAGAACATAACATTTCCTCAAATAACCCTAATTATATCAACCTACTATACCGCCATCAAATACTATGTACAAACAAGATGAAAAAATCCTAAAATATCTCATAAGTACTAATATATCCCCAACTTATCCGTCTAAAAAAATAAAACTAATTATATACGATACTAAATTTAATACAACCAACTTAATCATCCGCCATAACTATTCTCCGTTAACTAAGATTTTGAAAAAGACTAACATTGTATACCAATTTAAATGTTCTTTGGGTGATTTTATCTCTGTTAAAATAGTAAAAATATATGTTGGTTTCACGACAACAATATTATTGAGGAGACTTACACATGGCTGATTCAAGTTCCATAGCACAACATTTAGAGAAACATTCCTGTCCACATTCACAATACAGAGAAAAATTAATTGGCAATACAAGTATATTCCCCGATGAAAATAAAAAACAAAAACTTCAAATTCTTGTAGCCCACTATATAAGAAGAATACAGCCAGCACTAGATAAGGTTAATTATGAGTATAGCAACAATGTTTTAAAAATGTCTATAACAGCAATGTTTTAAAATATTAAATTGTAATCTTAAAAAAAAAAATAACAACTGTCAATTAGATTAATTTTTTGTCTTTGCAATTCACCCCTGAAGATGATCTTGGATGAGATTGAAAGTACTTGGGAAAATAAAAGAAATGAAAAATAAAAAACAAAAAAAACAAAAAACAAACTACGACACCTTCCTTAATGAATTTAATGACAATATTAAGAAATTGATCTGTGAATTTGAGAGGATTAAAATTAAAATAGACATAATATTTCCGTACTATTCAACCAAACATGCTTGAATGTATATATTTTTTTTATCATACTGAAAACTTTTCACCACCCCCACGTAGCTTAAGTTTGTACTTTATTTTGTATTTTTTCCTCATTGCCTGTGAAACATTCACAATAATAGCCTGACTAGTTTGGGGGCTAATTTCAGAATGCAACCAATTATGCTACGAATGCGTTAAACGCTTCTGTTTTTAACATCTTTTTGGGGGATTTTCTTTTTTTTTTTCACTGAGCAGAGGGACAACAAATAAGGACGCTCTCCACGTCCCTCTATTTCGCTTGCATTTTTTGTTTTTTTATTTTATCCCCTCCATTTCGCATAAACTCAGACGTTACCCTTTCTCAGTCGATCGAACGACTTGACTGAGAGCCGCCCGCAAAACACAATCAGTTTAGCGCGCAATCAACTGGCTGAGTCGTATGACAGGTGAGTCTGTTTGCTTGGATTGCCGATTTGATCAGTTGGAAGAATTGTTTTGTAATAAGCATCTTAAATACAGGTGAGACAATTGGTAGCCAGGCAAAACTGACATCGCTCGTTTACCATCTCTAAGCTGTAACAAAGGTGTTTTTGTTATAAATAAACTGTCTTCTACCAAAGAATTTGTGTAGTTGCCATTTTCATTGGCTGTCTTTTTTTTTGTTTTTTTTGTTTTTGTTTAGCGGCATATCAACACCTTTATGGGTTATTTAATGCCGAAATCTAAATATATTTGTGCACAATTTTATTTTATTTGTGGAAATAATAATGGTTTAGTGATACAAGTCTCACTAATTAACCCACTGCTGGGGGGTGGGAGGAGAGATGGATTCATATGTTTCCCAAGAGTATTTGCGCGTAATTGAATATAACAAACACGACTGGAATTGGAATTTGGTTAGCCGATTAACAATTCCGAGTCATTATCAGTTCCACAATTCCCACACCGAAGCTTACAGCAACAAGTATTTCAAAGCGGTCACCCATCTGAATACTGTCCAAGCTCGACGTTGCTTAACTTCGGTGATCGTATGGGAACCATTGTTTGAACGTGGTGTAGCCGTAAGCCCAAGTTTCATTGACATATAAGAAAACTGATTGTGCGATTGGTGTGATAGATGTTGACTCGAAATGTAAAATCGGAGAGCCAGTCGAAAGGTACGAATCCATCTATTCTTTTTCAATTGTGGGTTAAAATGTACTGTAGCCGGTGTTGCGCGATCACGAGTCCCGTGACCCATGCAGTAGTAAAAGTGGTGTTTCTGGAGCAAGATAACCTGACGGAGCCCAACCCTCTCCTGGTCGGTTTTGAATTCAGGATTACCTTCTCCTGGACTGCTTGTCGCCTAAGGTTATAGAACCCACTCTGTCCTGTTATTTACCCATAATTGGCAGGAGAAGAAGATTCCTCAATACGAGCCGATATCCATTACTCCACCAATCGGGGTTGGCAACCATTCTAAAAGAAGGATAACTTAGAATTTATGATCAAATTACGGGCTGCCTTTTAGAAAATCATTAGCATCCTGAAGACATCGGCAGGTGTGGTCATCTAACAGCCATTGAACTAGAATGATGTCATGCAAAAATTAACATAAAAAAAATACTGGACAAAGCGTGAGACTGAATGATACAGAGTCAAATAGAAAATGAAGAAGGTAACATCTTGGGTCTACTAATAATTGCCAACTGAAATCCTGATGATAACACGCAAAACAGTTCGAGGAAAAAGCATGTAGATGCTATGGGGCGATTCGAGAAACGACATTGTCACTCTGTCTATTTAAGAAAAAAAACAGGCTTGAGCTAATAGGGCAGGTTGAATTTTCGCTTTGTTTACAAAATCAACATTGTACTCGGTGTGAAAACTGGAGGGGATAAATACAGACACAAAAAAATAGCTTCATAGCTTTTCCCTTTGAATTTTCGCCCGAAAAAAAATGTACAGAAATACCTAATTCTTTCAGTTTTTTTGCTTACAAACTGACTTCAAAATATTATTATTTCAAGAATAAGTCTAAATAAGTTTTTTTTTTTTGTATTTGATACATTGAATGGAAAATATATTCAACCCAGAATCCTAATTATGAATCACCACAAGCACAATAACTATTTTTTTTACTGTATTTACATTAGTCGGACTATTGTTCTCATCTTTGTCGCCATATTTGTCACAACGTTTCGGCCGTTGTACGCTCCGGCCTTCTTCAGGTGGTTGGAATTTCAAACTGAACCCTTTATTTCACTCACTGGGGTAGACTGTTCTATTTCCACGTGCCATGTTTGATGGATGTCAGTTATCAGTTATCTCCTGCTAATTTTCCATCTGAAAGTTTTCCACTGCCTTAACCAGGTATTGAACTCACCTTTTTTTTTTACTGTATTCAGTGAGTAAAAACTGTGTAAAAAAATGTAAAATATTAGAAAAAATGGCTAAGCAATAAATAATAGTGGTTAGATCAATCGTTAGATCATAATGAAAATAAAAAATAGATAAAAGTGTATATAACATCGTAATAGTGCTGCATACAAATTATGAGACTGCATGTTTTAAATTTGCTTTGTTTATTGAAAATCGAACTAAAACTACTGCACTGTATAATATATTACATCATAATATAGCTAAATTGTTCAGTATAACGTCCCTTTGAAGTAAATGAAGGTCTTATTTAATGGTACAATGATCAAGTAATAATTTGCTTGTGCCATGCATCTTGTCCACATACAACTTGTAAAGCTTCAGTAAATTATACATTTTATAAGGCTGTGCTATAAGGCTTTCACTGATCACCGGAATGAACACTATTTACATTAAGGTTTCAATCCGACATTCCAAACACCTGAACAACGCGGAACTTAGAAGAAAAAAATACGAATCAAAATCTGCAACTTCTACGGAAAGGAAACTGAAAGAAAATGGTACGAACACCACCCAGACCCGGTTACGGAGATAGGACCTGTTACAATTCTATGCGACTACACAATACACACTGACAGAACAATCAAAGGCAACCGCCCAGGTATTGTTATTAAAGACCACAAACAAAAACGATGCCTCCTTATTGATATGGCAGTCCCTGCTGACTGCAATGTATCTTTGAAGATATTCAAAAAGTTGTCAAAATACAAGGACCTTGAAATAGGAATCTCGAAAATGTGGCATATGGGAACATCAACAATCCCTGTTGTAGTTGGAGCCCTAGGACTGGTTGGAAAAGATTGCAGTAGACTAATTGAAGGGATTCCTGGAAGTCCATGCCTCAAGGAGATACAAAAAATTGTTCTGACAAGTACAGCCCACACTTTACGAAGGGCTTTATCTATGTAATATTTTTTTTGTCAGTGGAAAGTGCCATTTCTAATCTTAGGTCCCTGGGCGAGACCCGGAAAGAAATGTGTAAACGCCAGATATCAAAGTAAATAAAATAATAATAATAATGTGTCTTTAAAGATCTTCAAAATGCTATCAAAATACAAGGACCTTGAAATCGAAATCTCAAAAATGGGGCAATAAAATCTTCAATCACCACATATGGGGAATAGCCTATTTCGGCAGACGAAGATATCGGTCCTCTGTTTTATCAATCCCGGTGTGGACTGAGTTCATGTCAGAAATAGAAATTTAACTATGAGAACCAAAATAACAAAACAACACCAGTCGAAAAACTAATCCAGAATTTATCGATTTCGATGTTTCAGTCAGACGAAAGGCACGAGTTAAGGGTCTGGGGAAGGTGGAAGCTATTTATCTAATAGGGAAGAAGTTTTATAAAATTAAACCTGGATATTAACCTTATGACATTAATTTGGGGTTATATGTAGAATGAAATTAAAAGAGGAATAAAAAGGGGTTTAAAAATAACTTTAAAATACATAGATAAAAGGATTTAAGGGATTAATGGCAAGAGAGTTTGGGAGATCTTAGAGGAGGGGAAAGTTTATAAATTATAATTAATATAAGTAATGAGGTTATAATGTTATTTATTATTTGTTCAATGCATTAACTATTTGTTCTGTAATAATAAATACGTTGAGCTCTTTTTGTGGATCAGTTTAATATTTTATATTACTAGGATCCACTTGGGTTAACACCAACGGATTTCTTACCTTTACCATATATATATATATATATATAGAGAGAGAGAGAGAGAGAGAGAGAGAGAGAGAGAGAGAGAGGAGAGTGGGGGGTGAAATAAATATTCGTACACCATGAAAATTAAAATGAATATAGTTATAATCTAAGAAAAATGGCTTATTGAAAACAATGACAATACACTCGAATGGTCATCACGGTCTCTAGACTTGGATCCAACAGAGAATTTGTGGCGTTGATTAAAAATTTAAAACATTCTTGACCTAAAAAGAATATGCAAAGAAGAGAAAATACCAACGGAAATTTGCAAATCACTGATTAAAAGCTACAGAAAGCAACTGATTGCTGTTGAATTGAGTAAGGAATATGCTTACAAAGTATTAAATAGGTGTTATAATGTTGTACGAATACTTTTTTCCCTACAAATTTTTTTAAAATTTCATATAATTTCACTACTATAACGAATTTTTCTTAAGTTTTTTGCATATTTTGCCATGGTATACAAATATTGTATGGATTATAAAATTCTATTATAAAATCTGTTAAATAAAAAATTCATGGTGTACAGATCTTTTCTCTCTTCTATATATATAGACCGAGTGTAGGCATCTCGAGTTGGTGTAATAGTTAGCAAGCTTGTCTCGCTAGAACAATTACGACTTTGTAGTGAGTACGATTCTCACTGGGTGCACCCCTACTTGACGCCTTTTGCCACATTAATCTACGCTTGAAAAATCAATATATGGACCGGGTGTAGCAGCAAAATTGCCCCAAATTTTGCGGTTACACCCAGTATATAGGATTAGCAAACTTGTGTCGTCAGATGATTTCTGACTGTGTAGTGATTTCTTTACTGTGTGTCCAAAACCTTAGGCTGTTTTACACATCTAAATTGCGCTTAGAAAATCACTCTAGGGCCTTTAACGTCCTTCTTCAAAAGACCCTTTTTCAACGAAGTCTGTGTCACTTTGCCTCGAGTTCTGTTGATTTAGGTTTGGTTTGGTTTATTTTCATTTACGGCATTAATGGGTTATCTAATGCCGACAACATTTTTAAGATAGATTCGTATGAATAGAATATGTATTCTTTGGTTTAGATTGGCTTGGTTTATTTTGTTTTACGGTATATCAACCCTAGTGGATTATTTAATGCCGACAACATTTTTAGGATAGATTCGTATGAATAGAATATGTATTCTTTGGTTTAGATTGGTTTGGTTTATTTTGTTTTACGGCATATCAACCTCAATGGGTTATTTAATGCCAACAAAACTTTTATATTGCTGGTAATATTTTGTTTTGTCAAAAATCTGTTTCTGGTAATATATTTCCTTCAAAATTGTATTGCTGGTAATAATTTTTTTTCAAAAAAGTATTGCTGGTAACCGTTAACTATTTGCCCATAGCTGGGACTCTAACAGGTGCTACCACCCCGGGTCAGGGTAGACCTGGGAACACCAGCAATTAAGAGGTGGTTCCACGATCCTCAATAACTCCTAGTCAGAGGCCTTGCTGCTGGACGTAGTTTAACGTCTTACCCAGGACGATCTGTTGATCTAAAAAAAAAAAAAAAAAAAAAACGCCATGCAACGGTTTCTTTTTACATTATGATTTTCGTGAATTCCTTTTTGCCCTTTTCAAAACTTAGGAGTGAAATTAGGTAGAGGGTACCCTTGGGAGTCATCGATGGTTTTCTTAGCATGAAGTCACAAGCCACCGTGACCGAGTCTTTGAGCGTGCTGGCTTTTTTCTGACTGTTGATCACGGCAGGTAATGCACCCTTTCCCAGAAACTGTAACTAAGGTCCGCTCAGTATAGATGCATTATAAACAACAGGTGGGCCCTTCTGGGTGTTGAACAAACAAAAATGTACCTGAGCCGCTGAATGTAACAGCGATTTACGAGCTGCCTTAGTAGACAGGCACCCATCTTCGGACCACGAGCGGCCAGCCATTGTAAACACTCTTTCGCAATTCACACCAGCTTCAACTTGAAGATTGGGTAATCCAAGAGGTTAAACAGTTCAATTAATATAAAATCTTCAACTGAAATTTAACATCTGATGAAATATTATTTTTTTAGGGGAGGGTTGGGGTAGATTCCTTATTGGACGGTCGAAGTACTAAAAAAAAAAAAAAAAAAAAAAAAAAAAAAAAAACAAAAAAACAAAAACGCACCAGATACTGGTGCTGTGAAAATAAAGCGAATACATCAATAATATAATAATTCAAAATAACTTCGTTGTATTCAAATCACGTCATCGCGTAAAGAACAAAAGCTGCGATAAATCACCATTATCGTTCGCCGTCTAAACGTAGCCCCCAGGCTTCCAGATGTGATGCACTTGAATGAAGAAATCTGAAGTCTTATAACTGGAACTCTGCCCTGTGCGTTGTTTGCCAGGGTAACTCAAAGACCGACCATGTGTTTCTCGAGGGTTCCCTAAGAAACATGCAGACAAGAGTGGTAAAATCTTTTATCTCTGGTTCTGTTGCGAAAGTTTTTAGATGTTGGTATGCGATACGCCGGCCACTGAACGAGGGTTTGGATTCGGTTCAGTGCCATTAGGTTCAGACCTGTCACAATGCAAGCTCAGCTGTTGTTTCTGCTATCGACGATCATCTAGACGCAGGTGTTAGCATTCGCTTTTGCGTTATTTTTTCTTCTTTCACACACCTAATCCCTCGTTGATCTAAAGCATAACCAGGCTATAAAAAAGAGAAAGCCAAATTAAAATCTGATTCTAATCAATTGTTCCTGTTCTCTGCCATGTCTCACAGTGGATTTGAATATCTCTCGATCTAGCAGAGATTTTCTTTCGCGTTAGACTTTCTTTTCTTTTCTTACTGAAATATCTTTATTTCTTTTGCTCAGTTGCACCATCCGCTTCATATGACGAGTGTTTTTCACTCTTTCTTTTTATTTGCGACTTTTATAATTATCTCTCATTTTAATCTTTGTCTTCTTTCATTCACGCGATTTACCTAGCTTTTCTTTTTCTTTTTTTTGCAGTCTCCCACTTCATCTTACTCTTTGTGTTCTCTTCTTGTATTGCGAGAGTTTAATTGCTTTTTTTCTTTAAAACGTTTTCTTCTTATGATTTTTCTTTCTTTTTTCTCTCCCTCGTTCTTCCTTTCGTTCTTCCTTTCGTTCTTTTTATTTTAGAATATTTTCTTATTATATTTTCCTTTTTCTTTCGTACAATTCTTTCTTTCTTTCTTTCTTTCTTTCTTTCTTTCTTTCTTTCAATATTTTCCTTTTTGTTTTCACAATTATTTCTTTCTGACGATATTTATCTTCCTTGCAACATAATTGTTTTATTTTATGTTTGTTTATTGTTTGTATGTTTCTTTTCTTCTTCGTTTATTTTCCTTCAATTTCCCTTTATTTGTTTCCTTCTTTCTTATAATTTACTGTTGATTCCCCCACTTTCTTTTTCTTTGCACCATATATCCTATTTTGTTTGTTTGTTTGTTTGTTTGTTTGTTTGTTTGTTTGTTTCTTTCTTTCTTTCTTTCTTTCTTTCTTTCTTAGTTTGATTTATTTTTTGCTTTTGGAGAATAATTTCTTTCTTTGCACCTATATCCTTTTTTTTTCATTTCTCAATTTTCTTCTTTGTTTTCTTTCTTTATTCCTTAGTTTTCTTCTTCTTCTTCTTCTTCTTCTTCTTCTTCTTCTCACATCTCCATACATTCCCTCTTTGTCTCTTACTCCCCTTTTTCTTCACCTTCATTTCTCGTTAAGCCTTTCCCTCTTCTTTCTTAAATCATTGTCTCTCTCCTTCAAAGGCACTTCGACGTGGTGCAATGGTTAACAAGCTTGCCTCGCTAGATATCCCATACTATCCCTCACTGGATATCCCATAATTTCGGCCTTGTGCCACATCTAAGCTACGCTTAGAACATCGCATTTGTCTCTCTCCTTCAGTCATAGTATCCGATATTTTATCTTTCACTCTTTTCTTCATCTCGTTCTTATCGCTCAGATAAAAATGTATCGACTAAGAACACTTGCCTGCCATTCAAATATCATTATTCCTAAGAATAGCTGAAAAACGAAACACCATTTTTATATCATTATACTAACAATATTGGCTTAAGTAATCAAAAAGAATGATTTTTTAATAACTGTTTAGACGCTAAAAACAATACAGAAGAATGGTAATTATAATAGCCGTTTCCCTGTAAGGAAACATTCAGCGTTCATTGACCGAGCAGCCAGTGTTACACTTTTCTCCAATCCTTGACTATCGGGTTTGGATCAAAGTGTAGTATCTGTTCTCATCATCTCCAATGTTAGTGGCAATATTAGCCTTTTCCCTATAATGAACCATTCAGCATTCATTGACTAATTAGCCAGTGCTACTCGAGTTACACTTTTCGTCATTCCCTGGTCATCGGTGTCGGGTCAAAGGGCAGTATCTCCTCTTCTCTAGTAGTAATAATAATATTAGCGGTTTCTTTATTCATTGACCGAGCAACCAGTGATCATCGTGTTACACTTTTTTTTTCACTCCCTGAATATCGGGTTTGGATCAAAGAGTAGCATCTGTTTTCCTCATGTTTAATGGTAATAATAATATTTGACGTTTTCTTATATTGAAACTTTCGATATTCATTGACCGAGCACACAGTGTTGAAAGCTTTCTATTGAAACATTTCTAGAAAATAGGTTTCACAATTCCAGTAGCTTTTATCGTTCTTTCTAGTATTAATTGGCATTTGCTTCCTAACCTTTTGTTTGAAGTCGTGTGAAACGTCAAAATCTTCATTATTTACATTATTGTCCTCATCTTTGTCGCCATATTTATTACAACGTTTCGGCCTTTGTACGCTCCGGCCTTCTTCAGGTGGTTGGAATGTCGAACTGAACCCTTTATTTCGCTCACTGTGGTAGACTGTTCAAGTTCCACGTGCCATGTTTAATGGATGTCATTTATCAGTTATCTCCTGTTAATTCCCCTCTGAAAGTTCACCACTGCCTTAACCGGGTATTGCTCCTGTCACTGGATCTAACCAACGCCTTTATCCACTGTGCCATGTGTCATTGAGGTCAAAATCTTCATAATCCTTTATATTCTCTTTGACTTACCTGTGCTGTCCATTTTAGCTATGTTGTTGAAAGTCCTCAGAGGATGTTGTCTCGCACATTTCGCGCAGGTCGTTCGTTGTTTCTGATTCTAGAAGTAAACGAGGGACTTTATTTTGTCTGACACAGATTTATTTAAGCAACATTTTTACAGTAAATCGTTGTTATCTGTAAAAAGTAAAAAAAAAAATTCTTAATATAAAAATTTATATATTCTGGCTTTAAATAAACTGTAAAGGATTGATAAGCCGTACAAAACGAATCAATAAGTCAATCAAATACTGATTAGCTACACAGATATGTCTTTTAGATTTAATAACATTCTCTGGAATGTAAGTCATTTTCCAAGCGTCGCTTAGATGTGACACAGGGCCGAAAATATGAGGCACCCAGTGAGGATCGAACTCACTACTCAGTCGTAATTGTTCTAGCGATACAAATTTGATAGCCATTACACCGCCTCGAGGTGCCCTATTCTCTGCAATATAAATGTATAGAAATTTCCACGAGGGATCATTTTATATATTGAGCGAAATAGGGAATTGATATCCCACTTTATATCCACATTATAATTACGTGTTTTATAATCAATATATAAAACAGCTTGTTTGTTTATGAAATTCTGATAAGTTATGAATCCACCTCTTCCCTCCAGCTATGGGTTAATTAGTGAAACTTATGCCACTAAAACATGTTTATGTCCAAAACAAAACATAAATGAATTCTTAATATCTAAAAATATTTTCTGGCTTTAAATAATCTGAAAAGGGTCGATAAACCGTAAAAGACGAATCAATCAATCAAATTTTGGATTTCTGTTGACAATTGAATTTCTGTACTTGCTTGGTTTTGATATCTCTGTTTCTTATCTCTTATTTTGTGCTGATTTTTTCGCTAACGACCGTATAGTTCGTCTTGTTACAATTCATGGGACACCCTTTTTTCCCCGCTTAAATGACTAGCCTAGGAGTTTCAGAATTTTTCTTTCTGTGTCTGCCATAAACACGGTTTGCAGTGTTTAGCTTTTAGCAATTTAAATATCCGAGAAGCGTTTTAACAGAGAACGAATAGTGCGACTCTAAAAATGAGATGGCGAAAGATGTCTTCCAAAAGCTAAGCAAAGTATTAAGAAACAGGACAATTCCGTTAGAAACAAAGAAAAGTGTAATGAACAGTTACTTAAGATGACAGTGAACGCTGGACAATCTCCGCACAGGCGAAGAAAAAACTTGAAGGAATAGAAATTTAGTTCTACTGAAGGATGTTGAGAATGTCATGGACTGATCATGTGAGAAACGACAAAATCTTAGAGAAAATGGAAACAAAAACGACATTTATACTCAGCACAAAAAAGACAATTTCTAAGGCACAGAATGAAGAAAGGGTCCGGAAAAATTGATGCACACAGGGATATATTGATGTTAAGTATAACAGAAGAAAACGGTGCATAAGCTACCTAACAAGCCTTTGTAACGGGTCGGCAGAACAGAATTTAGGAGAGACAGGAAAAAAATATTAAGAGTTATGATAATCAGGAAAATGTGTAGAGCCATGATCGCCAATGGCACATAGAAGACAAAGAAGTAGCAAAATCTTATAACAGAACTGACAATCTAAAACCCGTTTGAAATTTCTTAGTCAAGTGATACATATATTTGTCTTGTTTTTGCTTAATATTATGGTGACTTCCAAGAATGTACAACTCACAGCTGAGCAAAGTTAACATGGCTTCCTCTGTTTGCTTTTTCAGATGATTCGGAGGATCGCAAGTGTGAGAATTTAATTGGGAACTTATAGCTGGCAAGTCTTGTATTACAGGAACACTGGGAATATTTTTGAAATATTTAAGAATGCAAAGTTATTATTTTAAATGGCGTTAGCGTGTTTCTTTGTAATTTTTGCAGGCTCAGTTTTTCCTGATCGCTGAGTTTAAACACTTCGGAAATGTCTTGTTCGTAAAATGATGTCATGCTTCTGTCTTACAAAGAAGGCTACTGTCGATGCCAGAGAAAGATTTTTCTTACTGAATACTTTACTTACCGTCTATGTCAGAGTTTCTTATTTTGACACCCATGATGCAAGAAAGAAAAATAACTGAGGGGAATGTTCTCCTTACATCTGGAATACAGGGAAAACGAGGGTGATTCAACTCTGTGGAAGTAGCACTGCGCGTGCTAGCGATAAAGGTCTGAACTGTTAGAATCAAAGAATATTATGGCAGTTGCCATAATACAATCAAGAAGTGTTTTTTTAATATAGCAGCTTAAAACTAACCTAGTATTACTAGTGACAATTTCACGATTTTCCTATTTGAATTTTCTTATCAATCGTAATTTTTAAATTAATAATCGAATAAACTTCTTGCAATTATGGCGACTATAAAATACTCGTGGGGATACCCTTAATACATCGTTAAATATTTGAGCTTAACAACTTTAATCATAAACTTTTGGTAAAAAAGGCCACTTATGCTTAACACTAGGTAGAGACAGTTGACATTTCTAGGGTACATAAAGAGGAAAGAGGTCTTAGAAAATTTGACACCTACAAGACGTATTGAAAGCAAGAGGGAGAGATAGGAAAACAATGCATAATATCTCTAGCGACTGTCCTGGGTATGTCGATGAATTACACCCGACAATAAGGCCTCTGTTCGGGAGATTGAAGGTTTCGAGTAACGTGCAACTACTTCTTAATTGCTGTTGTTCCCAGGTACACACTTGACTCAGGGTGGTCGCACCTGTTAGGATCCCAGTTATGGGCAAATAATAAACCCCCAAACAAAGACAGATCTATGAAAGCATAAAGGTTACCTATTTATAGTAGGATTATCAACAATACCTATTCATAGTAAAATAACTAACAA